GAGAGGACTCTCTGCCTTCTTTCATATAACTCCTCTTCTTCTGACTTGAAACTCTGGTCCAAAATGCCTCTCCCAGTCATTCACCTGGCACCTAATTATGTTTCAAAATGATTCCTTCTTTTTTATTTGTTCTGTGTCACCGATCCCCACTCTAGCCCCAACCTGGGTTCAATACAAATGTTGATGATTTTTTAGCATCTTGTACTGGGCCCCAGCATAGTTCTAATCCCAGTGCCATTTGATGGTGTGATTTGAGGACTATTTCTTCTGCTGTGGACTGAGATCTTGCATTGCACCTTTAAACAAAGGAGTGAGACTTTTTCTTCTCAAATACAGATTTTGAGCATGATAAGAAAAACTTCTATAAAAGGCTTACTATGGCTACTTAATGTATCTTCTATATTAACCATTTAAATTTTATCCATTCTTTACTAGTATGTTTTGAGTATATGATGCCTCTGGCAAGCTTGGTAGGTGTTTCTCTTAATCATTATTTAAATTATATGAATTTGAGAACTTAAGATGCAAATGAATATTTGCATATTATTGGCATATGTAAATACTACTGACCACTTAAAAAATAGTAAGTATTCCAAAGCTAAGCAAATGACTTCATCTACAATAGCATAGAAAAGAGGAAAATACTTGGGAATAAGTTTAACCCAGGAGATTAATAATCACTACCCTGAGGTCATAAGACAGTGAGTAAAGTAATTAAAGGGGCCCAAACAAAAGGAAACACAGGCCAAGTGAGAAAATTAACATTGCTGTGCTTATGCTACTCAGAGCAGCCTCCAGATCCAGTGCATTCCTATCAAAGTTCTAGTGTCATTTTCACAAAAAACAGTTTATTACAAACCCTAAAATTCCATGAAACCACAAAAGACCCTGATAAGATAAAAACCTAAGCCAACCATACCTGTTTTCAAAGCATATTACAGATATATGGTAATCAAAAAATATGATACTTTCACCAGCTGATAGATTAGACCAGCAGAACAAAATACAGTTAGCCTAGAAACAAATGACCACATGCCAAGAATACGGGCAGTAAGTGATGTTGGGAAAACTAGCCCCTTGCAGGAAGTTGAAATCAACCTCTTATACTTTATACAGAACCAATTCAAACTGGATTAAAAACTTTAATGTAAGACCTGAAGCATAAGAATCCTAGACCAAAACATCTGGCTAAATCCTTTTGACCTTTGGTGCTGACAATGATTAAAAGTAAAAACAAACAAACCAAAATAATCTGACACCAAAGTCACAGGCAACAAATGACATAAACAAAGTGGACTGCATCCAATTCGGATGTTATTCCAGAGCCACAGAAACCATCAGTGACTTAGAAAGGTAGGGAAAGGCAGCTTTGAGAGTGGGAGAAATCTTTTCAAATGTTGTATTTGGTAAGTGGTTAGTACCCAAGACACAAGAAACTCAGAGAACTGGTTTGCAAATCAGAACCAGCCTGACCACAAGATGGCAAAGGACCTGAACAGATGTTTTTTTTCCCACAAGAAGATATGGGTGATAACAAGTATAAGAAAAGTTCCCAGACCTGAATCAAACACACAAAGAGGTAGGATTGCATACCTGCTGCAATGACTGGCACCAAAAATGCAGATTGTAATGATTATTGGTAAAGGTATGGGAATGAAGAAACCCCTTCCAGTTCACTGCTAGAGGTTCCAAAAATAGGTGAGTTGATCCACATATTTTGGAACACAGTAAGGAGGTTCTTCAAAAACTGAAAGCAGAGTTCCTTTCTAGGTGTATATCTCCAGGAAATAAATGATCTGATTTGCTGAAGGAGGTATCTGAACTTCCTTGTTCACAATAGCATATTTATAATAAAATCAATGTAATGCTTGTGTTGACAGAAGTATGGTTAAGAAAAGGTGGTGTATATGGCTTTTACAATGGAGTATTACTAGGTCTTAAAAAGAAGTAAACCCTGGCATTTGTGACAACATGGCTGATGGTCAATTGTACTATTCTACACGAAATAAGCCAGACACAGAAAGATATACAGCATGATTTCATACATAGGGGATCTAAACAAGACAAAATCATAAAATCAGAGTAGAATGGTGATGTCCAGGTGTTACAGGGTAAGAAAAATGTATATATTGGTATCCAGGATGTTAGTCTTTGTTGTAAGTTCTTGAGGTCTTGTGTACCACACAATGAGGTGAGTACATTTAATAATAATGTACTATGCACTTAACATTTTCTAGTGTCTAGATATACAGTGAGCTTATTACACATGCAAAAAAGTAACTATGTGAGGTAATGAATATGTTAATTATCTCATAGTGCTAATCATTTCACAATGTGAACATATGTCAAAACACGGTATTGTGTAACTTAAATATATACACTCTCTACTTGCCAACTATCCAACAATAAAGGTATGAGAAAAGCCTTCCAAATTAGAGCCCAATACATACCATCCAACACAACATATATTTGGGAAATTGTAGGAATGAACAGGATTTAAATAGTACACAGTTTACAAAGGCTCTGCAAGAGCCTTTGGGGCAGTAGTTATCACTCCTTGAATTTACCACATATGACCACAGGTTTTGTTTCTAAACCTGGGTCCATTGTGTTAACTGACTCTATGAGTACTTGTCAATCATGTGAGCATGGACAACGTATGAAATTCAGTAGTTCACCATTTTGCCCTTCTTTGTGCTACTCATGCTACATCTCTGTCCCATGGGCTGAGCTCTTCGCACAGACCTTGATGTACACAATGGGCCCTGCCAATGTTCGATGAGTCAAAATGAACTATCTGGGATATATTCTGGGGTGAGAACCAATGTCTGCAGGACAGTTGTCCTTCTGCCTGTATGTCATCTAAGGCTCATTGCAATCTCATGAGTGAAGTTCTTCACCACCACTGGAGGGCTGAGAATTTAGAAGCACAGAAAGGTGGCCTGCAAGAGGTGAAAAAGTCCCATCAGCTCAGTCCATGTTGTAAAGGTTATATGAGAAATATCTTCAACTGCCTGTAATGGAATACGTAATACATACAGTTTCACTATTCTTATTACTTTGCTGTATCTCAGAGTAGATGATGAAAGTACATTTATTGATTTTTTTCTTTATGCCATACTTAAAACAAATTACAGTGGTATTTTCAAAAGAACAGCAGTAAAACCCCGCACATCTTATCTTTCAGATGAGCTATTTCATGACATTTAGTGAAGTGACAAAATGTTCCTTTAAGATTTGGTTCAGTTTCACCAGGAAGGCCCCAAGGCCCATAGTGGGCAGCTTGAGCCTATGCATCACACTGTCTTCCAGGCTCGAGATAGAAACAGCTGTGGCTTTTTGTTCCCACTGGATTTCATGGTAAGCTGCCCAGTTACCATGGTGGACTTTGTCCAACACTAAAGAGAGATAGAGTTTTACATTCTATTACATTGTATGTCTTGGCCAACTCCGTTTCCCAATTCCCTGATGCCTGTAGCCACGAGGCAGGTATAGCCAGACCTCAGATATGTGCTCTTAAAACGCATGTGAGTGGAATGGAAATTTCAAAGCTGTCCTAAAACCCAGTGAATTTTAGATTTTTGTGTTGTTGTTTTGTTTTGGAGTCTGTAAAAAGTTGAAATTACGCTGGATCACTCAAGGCTTGGCATTCTCTCGCCCTTAGAAATGACTAACGCTCAACTACCTACACTCTCCCCTACTTCCGCTACAACTTCTCACATTTCTCTTCCTTTTCTTGGTGTTGTGTTCATACTCCAGGGACTTGTCGTGGCTGGCAAGCAAAAGTGGAATATTTCCTTGTTCACACCAGCGGTGTTCCCTAGCCAACCTCAGCGTTGCACAGGGAATAGAACAGCACCTGGTGCCCAGATCCTCTCACTTTCTAGAACTTTTGTTAAAGTTGGAGAGAATCGGGTGGGGATTCCCTGGTCCCACCATGAGACTGACGGCCACCTCAGGGGTAGATAGAAACCATCAAGAATGGGATCTCTCTGCCAAACTGTGGGGACTTCTTCTGATCAACTCTTCTCTGTAGAGTGTATCCTGCCAATGACCTCAGGAATTTTTCTTGTCTCTATGTAAATTGCTATCTTTTCAGAGGTGCCTGACAGCCAAGTTTACAGGGCCTCCATTTGTACAGAAGCTGTTATTATGGGATAAGTGTAATGGGTCGTGAATTTTGTGGAGGAAGGGAGGGTCTCCAGATGACTTTGTGCGAACCAACCACAGACCTATTGACTTCACAAGCGGTGCATTAGGCTAAATATTTTTAGCCCATTGACTCTAGAGGTAATAACCCTAAATGCATCATTAAAATTTCATGGGTGAGTAACAGGAGCTACCAGAAAAAATCCCCCCCCCCAAATAAAACAAGCCACCACATTAGCTTTATTGTCACCCAGCTGGAGGGCAGGAGTTTGGCTTCTCAAAAAGAGTAAACTTTAAAAGCAAGTGTTGCTGTCTTTTCCCTAGCACTTGGGCACTGGGCTCCCAGGGGACAGCAGGCGATTTTCGCACTCCCCCCTCCCACCTGGCATTCAAGCCTCTGGAGACACGAGTGCCACGCCGGCATTGACGAAGCTGAATCCAATCTCAAGGTGGAAAAATTTCTGACTAATCCAATTATTTTTTGCCACTCGGTGTTTCTGAGATCTTTGTAAGATAGGACCTGAAGAGCCTTCTTTGGCACAACAGGTTCTAATTTACAGGACGGTCTAGTGCCCTGCAATATAAGAATGGAATGGGGAAAACAAGTTAACTGGGGCCCGCGTGCCCTCAGCGGCACAGGAGGCTGCAAACAGCAGAGGAACTCGTGACAGGTGCAAGACAACTTTGCCCAGGAAACGTCAATGAAAGGTGGGCTGAAGCGGGTCCCTGTGGCTGGGAGAGAGCGCCCCCTTCTGGCAAGGGACGCGGGGCAAGAAGCTCGCACTGCCTCGGCTTGGCTCTGTGCCCTCTCCACTTGAGTGCGGAGAGGCTTGGCTAAATAAGCAGACGCCTGAGAAGTCCGGGAGGGAGCTGCGGTGGCTGCTGCGGAGCGTGGTCCGCTCTCAGCGCGCCCCCCTCCGCGGAGAAGCGCAGGGAGGGGACCCCAGGCTCTCGGCTCCGCTCAGTCTCTACTCCCGGGATGGGGGACGAGCGCAGGGCCTGGAGAAGCACGACCGCAAGCCGCGGCGCCCCCGCTCGCCCGCTAGCTGGCTCTTCGTTGTCGCCGCGCCGACTCAGCTAAGCGGACAGAGTGCACTCGGGCGGCGCACAGAGAGCCCCGGCGGGAGAGAGAGCCGGCGAGGACGGGCTCGGAACGAGCGGTTGGCCGAGAGCTGGCAGGTGAGCGGCGGGGATAGCGCGGGGCGGGGGCCGCGGGAGGAGGCGGGTCTGCGCACCGCACTGGGTCCGGTCTCCTCCCCCTGCTCTGACGCGCGCCCGTGGCTTCCCGGGGAGGATGGATCCAGATAGGCGCTCACCCGGGCTTCCCCGGGCTGAAGAGCGCGAGTGAGTGCGGCCGGCCGCAGGGCATGGAGAGCCGCGTCTCGGGCGGCTTCAGCAGCCTAGGAGGATGCTCCCGGGAGCCGAGGTGAGAGGCGCGGCAGGGGGCACGCGGAGGACCCGGAGTTGAGCGCGCTCAGGTGGCCCGCGGGGACCCCGGTTCCGGCGAGCCTGGGTGGTTCGACTGGGGCCCGCGAACCCGGGTGTGGAGGAGGGCTTTCCGGGCGCGTCTCTCGGGAGTTTGATCGGAGGTGCTGTGCACTGGCGAGTGCCGCAGTTTTCTATCCTCTCCCACCACTTGCTTGCGAGGGGAGGCGACCCTGCGTCTCCTTCCTGGTCGGACCCCACTTCCATGGTTCTACTTCTGAACACGCGCGATCCTCTCTTTAAGCTTGCCTCCCCAAGACCCTTGCCTGTCGCCGGACTGACTCCCTGCATCCTCCCTCCTTTGGTCCCTGCTCTAGCCACCCGGAGGCTGACATCTACCACTCTAGGACCTGCCGAGTCCTCGCTAAGCCTCCTCCCAGCCTCGCTAGTGGCGCCCGCGGGTCCGACTTCCTTCCCCACTCCGTGGAACCCTCTTTCTCACTTCTCTACAACCCGGCAGCGCTGTGATTCTGCCTAGACCTCTCTGTTAACCGGACCCATCTCAATCAAGCCAAAGGTTTTTGCGGACTACGGCAGCACTGGACGCAATCTTTCTTTGGGTCCCGCGTCCCAGTGTTCCCTGTCGCGCTCTCTCCACCATTCGGTCCCCAGGTCTTCGGTCGCCTGCCACTCCCCTCGCAGCCGGCCCTCTTCTCCCACAACTCTGTATCCCACGGTCTGTCTCCAAGGCAAGAAGAAGGATTCCCTTGCTGGGCAAACTTTGCTTTCCTGTGGCTAGTCTCATAAAGGAGCCCTATGACCAGGTCTCAGCCGCCAAAGGCCCCGGGGTCAGGAGTCTTGATTTGGGGGTGGTTGTGTTGCGGAACCACTCAAGTACAGAAAGACTGACCGAGTCTACAAAGTACATTTCCACACCCTGCTGGTCACTGCCTCCCCTGGATGCGTCCCTTGGAGTATGCTTGTGACCCCTGGTGGGAGGGTGCGTCTTTACCGCACTTTTGAAGGCGCTGTTTCTTTTTCTTTCTCTCTTTCTCTATTTTCTTTTGGGGGTGGTGCTAGTGGACCCTGTCGGATCGGTAGGAAAAGCTGCATGGCAAAGTGGTACCACTAGGCTGCTACGTGGACCCTCCACACTGTGTTTCACTGGTTGTAAACTGGCCCCAACCCCCATCTGCATCACACAAGTCCTCATTGTTGGGGGTCTGCGGGGTATTTCCGCCTGGGCTGGGAGAGTGAAGGAATGGGGTGGGGGCGGGGAGCGCGAAGCTCTAGGCGACCATCGGGCGCTGGAGACGTGGAGAGCGCCGCTATGCGGGCAAGTGCAAGCTGGGATGTGTGTTTCTGAGGCAGGGTGCTTACCCTCGTGGGTAAGTGCCTGCGTGTGCGTTTGTATGTCTGCGCACGCCTGTGTTTAGCTTCCTGAGAGAAAGAGAGCCCCGAGTGGAGAGATTGTGGAGACCAGAGCCTGTTCTCTTTTCTCTGTCCAGAGCTGGTGCTGCGGCGGCGAGGCCTCCAGACGGTTGCTATAAAGCATCCCACTGCCAAACTCTGACGGAGAGACCATCCTTACCATTGCTTACCACTTCTTCCCTGCCCCCTTCCTGTGGAGCTGGCCCATTAGACACACTTTCACAATGTTGATAATTTTTAATGGAGGCTTTGTGGGGGTTCCGTTGACACTTCCGAACACTTAACATGTTTTCAAGTAATCATATAAATTAAAGGTGGCTTACATTCAGAACCTCCTAATTATCCAGTTCACGGTTTTACATTCATATGCCAATTACGGGTCTTGGGGGAAATCCATAAAATTATAAACCATCCCCACCCTCTGAATTAGCACCCATTGTTTTAATTATCTCCAAGATGAACAATTCTGGATGGAATCTTGAGTTGTGCTTGCAAAAAGATCGAAGTACTATGGGGTGAGGTTAGATGGGGTGCAAACGCCCCCTTCCCATCTCTTTTCCGTCCTATCCTGACAAGGCTTGGTGGCTGGAGACTGAAAGGGATCAAAGATTTTCTTGATTTCCCATTGAGCAGGGCGACCTAATCAAAGATGTATAAAAAGTCAACTTCTAAGCAATCAGATTGTCTGCTGCTGTCCTTGATTGAAACCCTAGCATTCAAATGGAGTATTGAAGAACTCTCAGAAATGGCTTTTGAAGTGCTATTGTTCTTTCCATACACACAGGCCCTCGCAGAGGTTTAGAAAGTTCCAAATGCAATGGTGTGAAAGGACAGACTTTGTAACTATTTCGCAAAGCAGGATCTGCAGCATTAGAGACTAGACCAAAGTGGGAAGTGGGAACATGTTACTATATTCCTGGGAGCCAGGTGGCTCTCTGTGCTTTGCCTCATGAACTGGGCAATTAAATCTCCCCAAATCAGACTTAAAAGATGATTTTTAGTTGAGGATTCTATTTATTTATTATTTTTGGCGGTATTCTTAAGGGCTGAATAGGCTTTTCTGAAATATTTAATCATGTTCATTGTACTCAACAATAAAATCTGAATAAAAATTACTTATTGTTGATGAAGCTCATCTCACAGGCTGTTTCACAGTATGTCTCATTTGCAAGAAACACCATTGTGTGAGGCTGCAGGGGAGAGATTCTATCACTTATTGTTCATTTTCTCCTCCCCAGAGCCCCAGAGGAAGCTGCTGCTTCTGTCCCCTTTGCCCTCCAAAGTCATTTTTCTTAAGCAGGTGGGTGTTTGGCTTCGTACGTGATCATGTACCCATCTTAAAATTGCATTCGGTGGATTTTCAAGGCTTGGAGCCTTGCTGCAGGCAGACGAAGAATCTATTTGAGGCAGCGTTTCATTTTGATAATTCACTCAAGTCAAACGTAAAGCAGGGAAGCACAGTTGATGCCTTTTAGATGGCACCGTAACAGATAGCATGCATTAAAGGGTGTTGTCAGAAACTTTAAGTGTTATTTAGGTCTCATTAAATCTTACCCCTCTCACTAGTCACTGGTGACAAAGGTCTTCACTACTTCAGTGATTAAGAATAAGTCACGAGACTTATCACATCTGCAAAACAAGGACCTTCTTTGTGGGTCTTGGATCAGTTTTAAGGAAAAACTCAACTTGAGTGTTTTGGCACATAGTAGGATTCCAAGAGAATGGTGAATTTTAGTAATGGCATGGAAATTGGATAAGGAATAGGGGTGCCTTTTGTAATTGGAAAGCTCGGATTAGACAGATCTAGTTATTTGCTTTATGATGTTTAACAAGTCATTCCTTATAGTAACAAAGACAATAACCTTTCTGAATGCTAAGTAAGGACCTTGTACCCTCCTCAGGACCTGACATACATTGCCTTACTTCTTTTTTCAAACATTCTTTCGGCCTCATTCTTGTGTGTTAGACTGGGAGCTGGGCATAGGCAAACCTGGCCTGTGAGCTGAGATCACACAGGAGATAAGGGGACTTAAATCCACTGTAGCCCTAGGTCCACCCAAACTACAGGTAGTGCCCCTCTGCATGGGAAGAGGAAATGAGCTACTTTGAAGGCCTCTGTAAACTCTAATCCAGACATAAAGAAATGATAAGACAGCCCGTGGAAGCAGGCCCCAGACTTTCCACAGGCGTGGCTTTACTCCCAGCGGGTCACTGGGCTGATGGTTGCACAGTGAACACTTGTGACTTTTCTAGAAGGTAATGGTTGATATCGGGTCATAGCTATCTACTCTGTGGAAATATTTATTAATTAGGTAATTAGTCAGCAGGTAATTGATTAGGTAGTTAATTAGCTGGGCGTCATCGCTACTGTCAGGGACTGCAATGGTAAACAATAGTCAGACCAAGAGGTGGGAATCACAGGTGGTACAAATTCTTGCAAGGAGGGGCTGCATCACCACTTTATAGATTTTGGGAGCCCCAGCTCTGCAGGCACTTCTCTGTGATTTAGCTTTCTTTACTCTGAAACAGTATGTTTCATAACTGTTGCGAAGGATCAGGAGAAAGCACTTAAGACCATGTCCAGCAGTAATACTGTCCTTCAAATGAGGTAGGATCCTCTTGGCAATGAACACGTTCTCTCTTTTTATGCCAGTTTAGCTAGCCAGAGGTTCTTTTCAGGATTTCTGGTGAACAGTTTGTTTCCTGATGTTTTACTGGAAATATGGTCTTACACATCTCCACTGTGTGGAAAGCAATTATGAAAGTGAACATGGTGCTGAAATGGTCACGCCCCTGCCCCCTTCTCTACTTATTCTGAGCAGAGTACCTTGGCTTTGATCGGATTCTCAAGGGATAGGTCAGTTTGCCCAGGTCACTGCTTGGAGCAGGAGAGGGGAGAAACAGCCTTAAAAAGACACATGATTTTGCAGGTGACAGGCACTGTCATAGCCCAGGGTCCTTGGACTCTTCATACAGTGCTCCTTCTACCAGTCCAGACTGCCTTCTGTACCAGGATAGAGAAGTGGCTTGAAAATATAAATAACACTTGGCTGGGAAGTTGCTGTCAGGCTAAGAGCAGGAAGCAGCCAGACATTCTGTACAGGGAGAGTGTGAGAAGGGAATACACATTTCATGGCCACGAACACTAGCACGGTGCTCCATCTATGAAATGCACGTCAGGATGCGAACTCGTGTAAACACACGGCAAAACAGAGAAACCCATTATGCCAGTTAATCACCTGAAATTCCCCGAGGTTCGAGAGCAAATGTTCAGTTTCTTTTTCCGTGACAGTCCCTTTGTATTGTTCTTCAATTTAGTCATC